GAGAGAGAGGCTCCTCACAGACTGGGTGCATGCCTTCAAGTTGTAGGGCCATTTTGTGAAAACAAGATTTTTCCAACTAGGTCATACTGGTTAGTATGTGGCAAAATCAATTTAGTTGGTCCTCGCCATTAAAAAAAATATACACGCACACACATACATGTATATATATCATCAGTGATCACGCTGAAGTATATTGCTTTATGAAACTTGGGCTATGTAACTATATGCAAAACTTATAAAATGTATTTCATATTGTGACTGTTAAATGTTCAAAAAGTTGGAGAATCGCTGCTATAAGGCGACTTCTGTCTAGCCTTCCTGCTTTCCCTTCACCCTGAACTTCCACAACTTAATGCCAGGACATTTCAGCCTTTTCTGAAACCTGGAGTCAGAACACTTTGGGGGAGCTGGGGTGGAGGTAGTAGGGACAACAAAACAATCCTTCACACATCCCTGAGCTCGGGGATAGTTAGAACATTAAAAATATTTCAGCTCATTATTCTGGATGAGGACAGAATCCACCAGTGAAAATAGGTGATTAACCAGCTATGAAACACAAAAACATACTTTTACTGTTACACATTTTTTTTTACAAGCACTACGTGCATATATGTCAGTGCACCCCCCTCCATTTCTATCCTCCAGGAAAGAAACCTGAATATCGAGGTGGCCACAGATTGCCAGGTATCTTATTTTCCTATCCCCTTTTTATATGTGCAGTTTTAAAAGTTCGTTAATAGAGCCTGTGAAACTCCGGGCGCGATTGGCTGGCTAACCTGAGGAGTGGCGCATATTCCTTGGTGGTCGGTAGGTGTAAGGAGGCAGCTGCTGAAGGCTCTTACCACGTCAAGTAATGCACAGCGAACCGTCATCATTGGATTTCAAGGAGGTGGGAGCGCTCAGAGGTAGGGCAAGAAGAAGGTATAAAGGGGTGGGAGAGTCCATCACACAAGGACTGGAAGGAGCTTTAATAAAAGGCAAAGCGTATCTTTGCTGGGCAGTATTGTAAAGGAGGAGAAACCGAAAGTCAAGAAGATCGCCTAAAAGGGCCGCCACGAGCGTCCCCACTTTTTGAAACGTCTTGAACCCAGGCTTCCAGCCCAGCCCACTGCGAGCCAGGTGAGCGGCCACCACCTCTCCAGCGGCTGCAGGACCTTCTCTTCCATGAACTTGCCAAGAGCTAAGCGCCTTCGCTCCACACCACCGCGCAGCCTCCGGGGCTCCGACGGGGAAGACGGTGAGATCGATATCCTTGGAGAGGGGGAAGATGAGGACGCCAACGAGGAAGAGGAAGACGAGGAGGCTGAGGGAAGCCAGCAGCTCCTAGAGTCACTGCACCAGCCGGAGCCGCAGGGGGCGCGGCAGGGCGTGAGCGCGCAGCCCTGCAAGCGCACGGAGAGCGGCGGCTGCCGGAGCGACTCCCTTGAGTTTGGCACCAAGTTCACGGCTTCGACAGGGTCTCCGGCAGCCTCTGGGGACGCCCCGCAGCCGGGGAAGCCCCCCTACTCCTACATTGCACTCATCACCATGGCCATCCTACAGAGTCCACACAAGCGCCTCACTCTCAGCGGCATCTGCGCCTTCATCAGTGGCCGCTTCCCTTACTACCGGCGCAAGTTCCCGGCCTGGCAGAACAGCATCCGCCACAACCTCTCGCTCAACGACTGCTTCGTCAAGATTCCCCGCGAGCCCGGCCATCCAGGCAAGGGCAACTACTGGAGCCTGGATCCTGCCTCTCAGGACATGTTCGACAACGGCAGCTTCCTCCGGCGCAGGAAGCGCTTCAAGCGCCACCACCCGCCCCCAGGAGCCCACCTGCATCACCCCTACCCACTGCCCGCGGCGTCCGCCTCCCTGCGCGGCCCCTATCCTGGCCTGCTGCTCGGTCCCCCAGCCCCGCCGCAGCCTGCCCCGGGGGTCTGCCCCGCGGTCGCCCCTGTGAGTCGCCCGTGCGCGCTTCTGCACCCTCATCCGCTTCGCTACCTGCTGCTGTCCGCCCCCGCCTACGCTGAGGCGACGAGGAAAGCTCAAGGCGCAGATCTCGTGACCCACCGCGCCCTGCCGGTACTTCAGCCCTCACTGGGCTCCCAGCGGTGGGAGGAGGGCAAAGGGCCGGCGTGGCGGCGGGGAGGCGGATGCACCTCCTTCAGCATCGAGAGTATCATGCAAGGGGTCCGAGGAGAGGACTCGCAGAGTCTATCCCCGACCGCGTGGGGCTACTGCCACCTGCTGCAGCGCCCAACGTGTCTGTTGCACCCCCAAGCCGCTGCCCCCTTGCTCCACGTGTCAGCCGCCGCCGCTGCCGCCCGGACGATGTTGCAACACCAGCAGCAGGAAGATTGCGCCAGCAAGGGCTTGCTGCTAGGCCGGCACCTGTCCGCCGCCGCGGCGCTGCTGGCGTGTCAACCCGGAGCAGATAGGCTGAAGTCGGGCAGAGAGGGGACCTCGTCGGCCTTTTGAGTAGCACCCACACCCTGCCCTGGCGCCAACTCCGCAGGTCAGAACTGGAGCCACGCTGGAGGGCGGAGAGGCCCAGATCGGTTCTCCCCTCCGCCGTATCCTTCCGCACCGCCACCTTGCACAGCCCGGACTAGGCGTGTGCATCAGCATCCCGCAGCAGAGCAACCACTAATTTCAGTCCATTTATTTACAAAGGAAAAGTTGGGTACTGTTCCTGTGAGACAACCTGAAAGTAAACTTCCGATGGCGTCAAGCCTTGCCTTTTTCCAGTCTCCAGTTGTGGCTTCCAGGGCTTTTCCGATTTGCACATTTCCAGAATTATTAAAGTGAGTGGGCATTTTGTTCTGGTATTAAAGAAAAACAAAGAAGATATAACGTCCAGTGTGCAACCTGTTCCCCCTTTTTCACTCCCTAGAAACTTCAAGTATTATTCCCAAGTCCAGTGCAAAATGCTCATGTCCTTCATATGTCTTCCTGAAATCGATGTATAAGTAGAATTTTAATTTCAGAGCATTTATTTATGATCTAGGTGTCTGATGTGCCAACTTCCATGGAGAGGTGTTAAAATTAAACCTACTTATATAGACTGAATAAAGTGCTAAATCACTCGCTGCATGACATCGTTTATTTTATATTATTTCTCGGTATTCGCTTTCTAAATAGAACTTTAAAACTTAGTTCTAGCTCCTAATTCAACAATATTCATTATAGGTATCAGAAACAACTGATTTTCAAAATGGCTTTTCAAACTTCCGAATATTTCAAGTTGAAAAAGTCTTGTCTTTTGAAACATGAGATTTAGTATGTACGGAACCTATGGTATAAAAGAATTGAAGAAAAACTATATTCTTCATTTATTTTCCATCTTCCCAAAGACGTTGATTTTTCTCTTGAATAAGTTGGAAGACAGATCAATTTGGAATGTAGTAGCCAACGTTTATTCCGAAAGGGGGGACAATTTTAAAAAAGCATTAGAATTTTCAAAACTAGAGCCCAAAGGAAAGAGATACATCAAATACAGCATTCATGTCCTGGACATGTGCAATTTAAAAAATCCTCTCTCCAAGCAGGAGCCTCCTAAGGGCTCTCATTCTCTTTCTTTAGAACAGAGAGAAACTTTTTTTGTCTTGAAAAAAACTAATTTCTGAAAGGACTTTACAACCAGAAAGGTTTCAGGTGACTGGGTGGGAGGAAAATAAGACCAAGATGCCCATCACGAAATACTTCCACTAGACAAAGCAAATTTCTAGAGACCCTGTGCCTCTCCACGCCCCGAGCACGCTCTTGTTTCTTAAGAAATGCTTTCCGAGCCGCTTTGGAAGAAGCGACTCCGTGGGTGTGAAAAGGTCGTTTCCTCTCAGTTATTGCCCGGCTCTGACGAACTCCTCAGAAGGGAGGGAAGACGTAGAGACGCGCGTTTTTACAGCTATTTAATTAGTCCATTTTTATTCCAGCTTCTTCTCTCCACCCATCACTCAGAACTTCCCACGCTTGTCCAGCCTGCAATCCCCACCTCCTCCCTGTTTGCTGTACTGCGGTTCCAGGGACGTTCTGGAAAGTTCCCAAGCCCAACCCCCGGTAGGCGCCAGGTCAGAGAACTTCCGATTCTACCCTCCGCTATTCACCTGTAGCCTTCGGCCGTCTGGCATCCATCACCAATTTCCTACATAGGCCTATATCCTCGGGCTGCAGACGACCCCCCAAACCTCCTTCCCCTTCACCCACCTCTCCTTCCTTGGGCTTTGCCCATTCGTGAACTCAGTCTTTCTGACCCTCAACACCTCAGCTTTAAGATTGTTTTAACAAATTCTGCAGATCTGGGCTAACCGAAGAGTTTGAAAACAAGCCGAGAAAAAAAGGAGCCTAATTTTGTGTTGAGAACTGTCCCATTCACATTACAACTCCCCCGTGCCCTTTGTGCGAAAACATCTCCAGGCCTACAGTGGTTCATTTATTCGGTCGACAGACATCGTCGGAGCGCCCACCGCTGAGCCCGGAGCCGACCTTCGAGGCTTTCCGGGCGCGTCCCGCGCTCCGTAGAAAATTTGGAGTTTTCTTTTCTCCCTTTGCCCCGGCACAGCCACCAACATGGGTGACTGCGGGGCAGAACCTGGCCCCAGCCGGCCTCCAAGCTCCTAATTTTTACCTAATGCCGCTATATCGAACGATAACTTTATAAAAAAAAAAAAAAATCTATTCCGTGGAAGAGTAAATTAAACGCTTTCCGACGGAATCTGGCGTTTGGGGCCCATTGGTCCAAAGTGAATTAAACGCTTTCCGACGGAATCTGGCGTTTAGGGCCCATTGGTCCAAAGTGCCGCAGCCACAGCCGCGTGGAGTGGTTCAGCTTTTAGTGGGGGCCGCGTGAACCCACCCGTAACTACAAAGCACTTGCCAAGCCCTTACTGCTGGCCCGGCTGGCGCGTCCCGGGTGTTGTGGTGGCGCCGAAACCCCTTGCGCAGGGGCGGCCGGCGGAGGGAATGTGTGGAGAGCGCGTGGTGCTGGGCGCTGTGACCAGGCCTGGCCGCGTTCCGACCCCGCAGCGCGTGAGGCCGACGCACTGATCCCGGTGATTCAGCGCAGGAGCATCAGGGAGCCTTCTGAGCCACCGGCTTCTGTTCGCCGAGGGGCCGGCCTCATTTTAACCCGTCGCATGCGGGGTCCGTTGCTTCCGAGTTGTACGACGGGATTGAGGGTCGTCTTCGACCTTCGGGCTCGTGTTCTCGAGGCTGGGCTGACTCGATGTGTCCAGAGCGGTCGGGGGAGCAGAGTCGAAAGGCTGGACTGGATGGCGAGGGCCTGGGAGGCTCAGGAGGCTGGGCCGAGGGCAGTGCGGGAAACCGGGAAGAGATTCTCTCTGGCCCTGCGGGCTAATAACACTAATAGTAACAATGGCGGCTGACGGTTAATTCCTGCAATCTGTGCCAGGCGCTGAATGTTCCCTTTAGCCCTCCGAGCACCCAAAGACTAAAACATTACCGAATCTCCATTATATAAACATGAAATGTTGCGACTTAGCGAAAGTAAGAAAGTTGCCTAAGTACTTAGGCAGAGGCCAAGCCCTGTCAGGTTTTTAAACCACTGCGACCATCTCCTGCCTGTCCTTCCTTTGGGTCGCAGAGGCCGAGACCTGACGGGGACCAGGGCCCCAAGACCGGGATGAGCCGACGCACTCGCGCGCCGGCAGGTCCCCAGCCTTCCGCCCCTGGCTCTGCTCTGCATTTTCCTAGGAAGTGCCTCGCGGAGCGGTGGGAAGGTCGCCGCGGGGACCGGACCTGGTGATGCCCTGGCCTACATGGAACTAGAGGGCTCCACTTAAGATCGCCAGGGAGGAGTCAGAAGATCCCTGAGAGTGCGTTCCTCCTCCCCTGCAGAATTTTCGTTCTCTTTCCCCTCGTGGTCCCCAGGAACCCAGGCACCCTCGACGTAGACATCGGCGATCCTGCAAACCCCGGACCGCCTGCAGGCGGAAGCCGCCCGGGTCCCCAATTCCTCTCCCGAAAGGACCCTGCGCTCCGCTTCGCGCCCGCGCGGGGCACTGGATCCGGACCAGGTGAACGAGTCGTAATGTGCCTAGGTTGCTGGGTGGCACCGGCCTGGGGAGAAGCTAGGGAAGGGTGGAGGGCGCTGGGACCCGGAAAGACCAGCGGTCTGTTCACCCTCAGGTCAGCACGTGGGTTGGCCGTGGAGGTGGGGACCCCTGCAGAGGAGAGAGGATGTCCGGGGTCGCTCGGACTGGAGCCTAGGTGCCTGTCCATGCCAGCTGGCCCGCGCAGGTGCGATCTGGCAGGGCGGTAGTGTTCTATACGCACAGATATTATGTACATTGAGTATTCGAAACGTTTGGCACTTGCTTATTCATGGGAGTGTATTGTAGCTAATGGTTCAGGAACCTTTCTCTTCTCCCGTCAGCCTAAACCGTACACCCCTGCTCCTTTCAATTTGATTGGAACGCAATAACACGGTAGAAAATCCAGAGAAACAGCAGAAACTACGAGGAAAAGAATAGAATCAAAATGGCAATAAGAACTACAAGGCTGGGAGCAAGATAAAGCAAATTTCGTCTTCTAAGATTTTGCACCTGCCCTTCACCACATTTTATTGGAAATGTGGGGGACCCATAACTCTCATTCCTCCCAGTATTTAGGAAGAATGTGTAGAAATGTCTTCCCACATTAACATCTGATTCCGGCCTAAATTGTAATCTTTAATTGCTAATGCCATCTTCCTGTAATTTCTACAAAAATAGTTTAGTCTTAATAGCTGTTTTTCCCCCATATCAGCACTGAAATTATTTAAATGTGTTTTAAGCATTCATTGATTTTAGATATGCCACCAGGTTCAAAAACTTAAATAGGTAATAGCTAATACTATCGAAATTTGCCACCACCTCCCTTTGCCAAATTCCCAGAAAATTAGGTATAGGGGGAAAAAAAAGACTTGGGAATCCAGTCTAAAATTCAGTTCAAGACTAGTTCCTTGTTGTTGAACTACCTTAACATAATCAAGGTGTATATGTTAAAACGAATGCTTATAAAAGAAATAATTGGATATAAACTTCATTTTCTTATTCTTAGAATGCAGGAGTATGTTTATTGAGATCACTAATAAAGAATATTTTGGGATAGTTATGATTTATTCAGCTATCGAAGTAGTTTATATTCCCAAATCCAGGCAAGGAGAACAATGAAATTAAATTAAGCATAAGAGATTTCCCTTTTTTTCCCCAGATACTGTAATTTTACTATCTCTAGCTATATATATTTAAAACCATATTTATGACTAATCATTCTTAAAATTAAGGTGACTATTGTTGTGTTGTCCAAGGTACCTGTTGTATAAGAGATTATGGCATATTACAGGCAGTTTTTTTCTCTTAAATTTTAAGTTTTAATAGAATGGAAACTTCCAAACATATGCAAAGGTAGAGAGATAGTATAATTAACCTCTAGGTTCCTCTAGGCTAGGTCAACCTTTTTTCATCTTTATCCTCTGACA